CACCGATGGCACGGAACGAGTTCTAAAAGGCCCTCCTTGTCCCTGACCGGAGGTGGGCGGGGGGGAGCCGTGGGGCTGAATGGGGCCACTGTGTGAGCGTGGGAGCCACGGGGGGGTCGCTTCCTGCCTGGGGGACGGCTTGAAGGATTCAACCTGGAAAGCATTGTGCGAGTGGCAGCTGGGGGCGGCTGTGGGATAGGGATTTTTCCCCCTGGTTCCAGCAGCTGGGTTCTGGCTGCGCTCACATGCGGCCCAGTGCTGGCACTGTGGGCTCAGGTTCTGTCCCTTCTGCAGGACTCGCTACATCAGCACAGAGCTGGGGATGCGGCAGCGGCTCTTCGTGGGTGTGCTGACTTCCAAGAGCACACTGGGCACGTTGGCGGTGGCGGTGAACCGCACGCTGGCTCACCGTCTGGAGCGCCTGGTGTACTTCACGGGCACACGGGGCCGCAAGGTGCCCCACGGCATGATGGTGGTGACTCATGGCGATGAGCGGCCCATCTGGAACATGTACCAGACCATCCGCTACCTGCTGGAGCACTGCATCAATGACTTCGACTGGTTCTTCCTGGTGCAGGATAACACCTATACTGAGGCACACCGCATCAACCGCCTGGTGGCCCACCTCAGCATCGACACCCATCTCTACTTGGGCCGCGCCGAGGAGTTCATTGGTGGGGACACTGAGGGACGCTACTGCTCTGGAGGCTTTGGGTACCTGCTGTCCCGCAGCCTCCTCCTACGCCTGCAGCAGCACCTGGAGTCTTGCCGCAATGACATCCTCAGCTCCCGGCCTGATGAGTGGCTGGGACGCTGCATCATTGATCACACGGCAGTAAGCTGCACTGAAGAGCATGAGGTAGGTCCTGCAGCAGAGCTGGCATAGAGCAGAGCCCCTGGCAGTGTTTTCCCATGGACTGCCAGAGCTACAGGGCTGGCTCTTGTGCACTGTTTTCCTTGAAGCCTCCCGTGCTTTTATGCAGTGGGGTGGAGTTGTGGGTCTGGGCCACCTCTAACCCACCTCTTACTCATTCAGGGCCTACATTACCAGTATTTTGAGCTGGGGAAGAATGTAGATCCTGAGCAGGAGACTGACCTCCATTTCCAGAGTGCATTCACTGTCCACCCTGTGCTGGATCCTGTTCAGATGTACCGGTTGCATAAGTACTTTGCACAGGTGGAGCTGGAGAGGACATACCAGGAGATTCAGCAGCTTCAGGTGAGAGCTGACATGGCTGGGTGGGATCTGGGCAATTCTGCTGTCACTTTCCAGTCAGGGTCACCTTTCTGCCCTCATGTGGGGGCCTTCAGACCTGCAGTTGTTCTGGGGTGGGATCAGCTGTTTGTAGTGCGACCTAGCAGGTGTACCTGCACCCACCTGGTCTGACTCCTCTGCTTCTCCCCTTGCAGCTCGAGATTCAGAATGCCAGCAGCCTGTCTGCAGACGGGGACCACAGTGCCATGTGGCCTGTTGGCATCCCTCCTCCATTCCAGCCCAAAACGCGCTTCGAGGTGCTGCGCTGGGACTACTTCACAGAGGATCAGGTCTATGCCTGTGTGGATGGCTCCCCCAAGTGTGAGCTGCAGGGTGCGGACCTAGCTGATGTGGCTGATGTGGTGGCCACAGCCATGGAGGAGCTGAATCGCAAGTACCAGCCGGTGCTGCACGTCCGCAAGCAGCAGCTGGTGAATGGCTACCGGCGCTTTGACCCCACGCGTGGCATGGAGTACACGCTGGACCTGCAGGTGGAGGTGGTCACACAGAAGGGTCACAGCCGCTCTGTCACCAAGCGCGTGCACCTGGTGCGACCCCTCAGTGAGGTGGAGATCATCCCCATGCCCTATGTGACGGAGGCCAGCCGCATCAATGTCATCTTGCCGCTCACTGCCCATGAGCGGGACCATGCGGCGCACTTCCTGGAGACCTACGCAGCAGCTGCCTTTGAGAGCAGTGAGAACGCAGTGCTCACCTTCCTATTCATCTATGATCCATTCGAGGCCCAGCAGGTGACCCAGAACGACATCTTTGCCCCTGTGAAGGCCCAGATCACAGAGTATGAACGCAAGTATGCTGAGGTGAAGATCCCATGGATCAGTGTGAAGACAGATGCCCCCTCCCAAATCAAGGTCATGGACATCATCTCCAAGAAGCATCCCGTGGACACATTGTTCTTTGTGGCCGGTGTGGGCACAGAGGTCACCATTGACTTCCTGAACCGCTGCCGGATGAATACCATCAACAACTGGCAGGTCTTCTTCCCCATCCACTTTCAGGGCTACAACCCTGCTGTCGCCTACCACAACCAGGCACCGCCTGCCATGCTGGACCTCCTGCGGGATGCAGGACGCTTTGACCGTGATGTCTTCCACGAGGCCTGCTTCTACAATGCTGACTACATGGCAGCACGCACCCGCATGGCAGGTGACGTGCAGGAGAATGAGGACATCCTGGAGACCCTGGACATCTACGATATGTTCATCAAGTACTCCAACCTTCATGTCTTCCGGGCTGTGGAGCCTGCCCTGCTACAGCACTACCGGCACCAGGCCTGCAACCCACGGCTTAGTGAGGAGCTCTACCACCGCTGCGTGCAGAGCAGTCTGGAGGGTGTTGGGTCCCGCTCCCAGCTGGCCATGGTACTCTTTGAGCAGGAGCAGGGGAACAGCACCTGAACCTGGGGCGCAGAGGTGCTGGCCCTGCCTGACTCACCATCCACCCTACCTGATCTGCTGCCCCAAATCTGTCTTCCTCTTTCCAGTGTGGCGGTCACTATTGCTGCCAATGCTGCCTAAGCAGAGCTGCCTGCCAGCCTGGGCTGGTCCCGGGGCAGCTGCAGTGCTGCAGAGTGTGGGGTGAAGCTGGGATGTAGCTGCCAAGCTGCATGCTGGGACCTCCAGCTCCTCACCCCAGCACTGCCTGCTGCCACCTTGCTCGCTGCTGGCCCAGCGGGGAGGAGGCCCTCGCTTTGTCCCATGAACCGCTCCACACTGAGTCCCTGTGGCAGAGTTGTGACTGCCATGAGGGACCAGCTGGGACTGGGGCAGGTCCCACTCTTCCTTCTTTCCCCCCCATGATGCAGGGCTGTGCCTGGTGCTCATTCAACTCCCTTGGCCAGGCCCTCAAGGCACGCTGTGGCGAAAGGGAGCATCAGTCATGTGCTGTGGGCAGGGCTATGTCCTTGTGCCGCTGCAGCCTGGAGCAGCGGCGTGGGCCCCTAACAAAGCAATAATGAGGTTGGATTTAGCATATGTCACGTGGCAAGGAGATAGAAGCTTGAGCCTTCCGGGCTGCCAGCAGGTGAGCTGCAGCTCTGGGGCTTAGGGAAGTGCTGGAGGGCTCCTGCCGTGTTTCCATAGTGTGAGCTGCTCCCCATGGGAACCCTGACCCAGGCCGTCTTGGCCTTCGCAGTACTGATAGGACGCCGGAGGTCTCAGCCCTCTGACAAGAGCTGTCCCTGCCTCAGGGATGTGGCCTATAGGCCATGCTGACCCCCTGAGTTCCTCCTGGCTCTGCTTGCCTGGGTTGGGGGGAAATGTGGTATCCAACGTTCCCATCCCTCCCTAGACTGCTGGGCTCCAGGGGAGGTTCGGCTACGCATCTCCTAAGGAGAAAGCGACTGAGGGAGCTGCTCCGTGCTCCTGGTTTGTATTTAATAGTGGGGATTGGAGGGGGGGATGTTTACACTAATAAAAGAGAGATGAATGAGTGCCTCTGCCTGGTTCTTGCCTGGGGGTATTGCTTGTGTGAGGAGTATGAGTACTGTGTCCCCTCCACTGTAGGATGAGGGCTGACTTATTTCAGCACTGGGTGCCCTGTTGCTCCCTGTATCTGGGCTGGGAGCTGCAAGGTGACAGCCGTGGCTTTGCTTTCTGCCCAGGGCAGTGCCATGGTGTCCCTGGTGCTTGAAATTCCTGCTCCTCCTGCCTGCATCAGCTCTGCTGGTGCTGCAGCAGGGTGCTGATGAAGTTGTGATGTCAGCATCAGGCCTGCTGTCTCTGAGCTGCTTCTACCCTTTACTGCTCCCTGAAGTGCTTCAATAGCTTGTGGAGCAGGGTGCAGGACTGCCTGAGGCCCCTGGCCACACTTAGTGCAGCAATAGCACTTTCTGGGGCTGCTTCTTTCAGCAATTGGTCACGAAATTCCCGCATCAAAGAAGAAATCCCCAAGGAAATCAGCTAAACCTACTTGCTTTTAGTGAATGAGTGCTCTGCACACCCCTGGAGCCCCCAGGGCTTTATGGCAATTCTTTCCCAAAGAAACCTATCTCAGCCATACAGGTGTTCCTGCTCTGCTCCTTGGATTCACACTGCAGGGACACGTATGTGTAAATGCAGGGCTGTTACAGTTTGGATGCTAGCAACCAGCAGGCTCTGAATATTGCTATTTTTGATCTTCCCTGAGCACAGCCTTAATTCCCCTTAAATTTGAATCTGGGACAGAAGGGAGTGAGGCCAGCGCAGGTGCGTTACAGATACATTCATTCTGAGAGGAGCCCAGTTTGATCAGGTAACAGAACATCCCATGTTAATGCGGCAAGCCAGCATCAGGTGAAGCTGGCTGCAAAAACAAACCCTGAGCTGTCACCGAGCTGTGACGATCGAGCAAACAGACACTTTTGCAATTGCCCATTCATGTGTGAGTGGCACATTTGTGTACTGTATTTTTGCATGCAATTGCAGAGAGAGCAACACACAGGGCAGGACAACACACTTCTCTGTTGCTCACAGCTTTCCTCCAGGGGATTTTCTGAAGGTGTTGCTGCCTCACTGCAGCCTTCCAAAAGGGCACTACGTGCTCTTGGCAGGTGGCTGCTGGGCATTATATTAGTACAGGGTGTGGAGAACTGGGAGCATGTGGCAGAGTGCAAACAAGGAGCAGCTGCAGGGGTCAGCAATGCCTGTGGGAGAGGCAGTGCGGGGTGTCTAGCTGGTGAGTTCTGGGCCTGCCCTGTGCCCTTTAGGGTGCAACAGAATTAAAAGAGCAGAGTGCTAATGGCAGCAAGCACAATAGCTTTATTGGAAATCTGTGCACACTCAAAGCTGCTGGAGGGCTCCCATCGTCTCCAGCAGTTGGGCAGGAGCACCAGGTGTGGGATTCAGCCCTGTGCCAGCCTTCACTCCTGCTCCTCCAGGATCAGCCTGATTTTCTCACAGAACTCATCAATGGCACCAAACTCCCTTTCCAGCATGGCTGTGGCTGCATGGATTCTCCCCTCCAGCTCCAAGCATGTGCCACGGTGCAGGTGTGCTGAGTCCTTGGTGATGAAGAATATGTCCAGGGCTAGGCAGAGGCCGAGCAGAACATAGGAGGCTGTCCCGGCAAGGATGGTGGCATTGCCAGCCCCTGCCAGCACTGTGCTGACTCTGAGAGCTCTACTGCCATTGAAGATGCTGCGCCCAAGCCCCACTACCACCCGGAACACCCCCAGGATGACATCCAGGTTCTCCTCCTGCCCCAGAGCCTCCAGCAGCATCCGTGCCCTCTCCACAGCCTCCTGGCAGCCCGTGAACACCTGTGCCTGTGCAGCAAACTTCTCCAGCAGCATCTCAGCCTTGCCTTTCCTCACCAGGCAGCCCACGCTGCTGCTAATGGTGGCGGCAGTGCTGGCGATGCTCCCAGCCATGGTGACGCCAAAACCCACAGCCGCCAACAGCAGCGCATTACCCAACGCAGCAGGGGCCAGCAGCAGCCCGGCCATGGCTGCCACCCCCCCTGCCACACTCACCACCCCGCCGGTGATGTTGGCCACCAGCACAGCCCGCTGGCACTGGCTCAGGGCTTCTGCCACTCCTCGCATGTCCCACAGGCATCTCCGCATGGCATCCCGGGTGGGCAGCACAGCCAGCTGCACCATGTCCCCGATAGTGCTGGCAGCCGTGCTGAGCAGGACAGGGGGCTGTCAGCTCTGGGGATGTGGCCGTGAAGCCTTCCCACCCACAGCCCCAATCCTGGGCCACACTCACCTCTGGGGCCCACAGGCCGGCCCACCCCAGGGCAGTGCATTCTCGCAGACAGAGTTACGTGCCGTCTCCCCGCAGCAGGCATAGCAGCCACCCTGATAGGGCTGCCGGTGCCTCAGCACGATCTCGAACTCATACTCGATGCTGTTGGCGTTGAGCAGCGCCTTCCGCAGGGTCTCGGAGAGGGGCATGTGCCCGTCTGTGCAGATGGCTGTGCCACCACTGCCCGCCCTGAAGCTGGCTGTGGCATAAGTGATGTCATGCAGGCCCAGGAAGTGCGAAGCCTCATGGATCAGTGTGCCAGGCTGCGAGTCCTTCTGCAGCTCACTGGGTGCCTGCCAGAAGAGCGGGCACAGGTAGATGGTGCGGTCCCATGCATTCTTCTTGACGTAGGCATAGGAGCCCGCCTTGCGCGGGTTCTTGAGGAAGGCTGCCTGCTGGAGCTGTGCAACGAGGCTCCGCAGCAGCCGCTCAGTCAGCATGGCGTAACGCTCCACCCAGCCTTCTCCTCCCTCCCCAGTCAGCACTACCACATCCTTCAGGTTCCTCATCAGCACACGGTCCTTGCGTAGTGCATCCTCTAGCACCTCCAGTGCCACGCGCTGTGCCCTCCGGGCAATGCTGCACTCCTCCTCGCTCAGCTCCTCCGACACATCCTCACAGCGGGGCAGCACACAGCACCAGCTGCCCGTCACCACCTTGGTGTGGATCAGGGCAGCTTTGTGCTGAGACATCCTGTGGGGCAGCGGGTCAGGGCACCTCCCTGTGCTGCAGATGGCCTGGAGCGTGAATGCTCCCCCTTTACCTTCACCCTCCAGCCCAGCTCTCACCTTCCACCTCCCATCCTCCTCCTCCCACCTCCAGGTTCCATCAGTGCCCAGGGGTCCTACCAACCTGACCTGTGCAGTGCCTCAGCTGGGGGATGGTTGGTGGAGAAGCAGCAGCCAGCAGCACAGTGTGAGGGCAATGGCACAGCAGGCAGCAGTGACACGCTGATAGGAACCGTGTCTGGTGCTGATAAGACGCCTAGGATCCAGTGGTCATCAGCACTGCTGCAGGGGCACCCCAACGCCGAGTGATTATTGGGGAGCCCTGGCCATGCGTTGGGGTAGAGGGTGCAGTGATAGCATGGGGAGCACTTGCTGCAGTCCCCAACCCTCAGATCTGCCCTTTCTGGTTCCCCTATGAGTTCTTCGCAGCTCCTGGGGTAGGGAGAGCACAGCCCTCCCCCCAGCATCGCCTGCTTGAGGCCGATAGAGCCCAGCTGAGTGCTGCCCTGCCCACTGTGCTCCAGCCCAGCCCAGACAATTTGGGTGCTGGCATACACAACTCCTCATTTTGGGGATGCACAGGGCAGCAACATTGACGTCCCCCCACCTCTGTGCCCCCCAGTCATGCAGACAGCTCTAGACCTACTTGTGCCTCTTTATTAGGGAGCTTTTGTACATTTATAAAACAATGACACACACCTCCAAAGGTCCCCTCCCACTGTAGTGCCCATGCCCACCCCTTCCAGGTCTTGCTCCTATTAGAAGGGAAGGGGCCACAGCCTGCACACAGCACTGGGCACCTTCTTGCCCATGTAGCACCATGGAGATGCTGCTGCTTGTGCCCAGATGATGGTGCAGAAGGAGGTGGTAGGCATGGGGGATGGAGGCATTCCCTGGGGCTGGGGACCCACACCATACATGCCACAGCTCCACACGCACCAGGATCCCCCAGGTGCACACTGCGCATGCCCTACTTAGGGGTTGTTTTTGTGTGCCCCTGTGCAGGAATGTTGGGTACCCACAATGTTTGCACCATTGGAGAAAACAATTCCAAGTGTGGGTGTATCTGCAGGGACTCTGGGCCATGCAGATGTCCTGGTTCCTGTACCCTACGTCCCATGCCCCACACATACGACTCCTCTGCAACTATGGCTTTGGCCAGGGCATGGCTGTGCCCACTCAGGTCTCTGGGTACTGGGGACAAGGACCGGTCCCAGCCAGCCTCCCCCTGAGGTCACCAATTTCTGCCATGGGGATTCCTCTCTGCCACATGTGCGTCTTGAGGGGGGCTTTGTTAGCCCGCCCCCCCCCCTCCTGAGATATTTTGGGGCTGTTTGCCCTGCGCTGGTGTCTGCTACAGTGGAGGGGGAGGCAATGTCCTACGGGAATTGGGGTGCCTGGAGTCCTGCTGAGGCCCTGCCACCCCCCAGCAGCAGGAGGACTGGGTGCAGGGCACCCTCCTATCTGAATACAGTCTCGGGGAGGCACAGTGGGTGCTCAGCACCTGGGGGGAGGAAGGTGGCAGGGGTACGTGCATGGTGCAGAAGAGCTGTAACAGTTGGGTAGCAAGGACAGGTGCCTCAACACTGCCCGGGTGTGCCGGGGAACTGCACCTGGGGCAATCCGCTTTGGGCAATGCATGGGATGTGGGGCACTGAGAGGAGAGGATTTGGGGCAGACAGTCATTTTGCAGGGCTAACACAGGAGTGTGGGAAATCACAGTGCAGGGGTCTAGCTGGGAGTAGCAGTGGGGAGGGAACCTCAGCCCTGGCAGGCTATGTGGGACTGGGGCAAGGTGGGGAGATGTCTGGGGGGTGTCACAGTGGTGGTGGTGCCAGGGGCCAGATGGGTGGCAGGGTGGTGCCATGCAGGTGAAGCTGCAGGTGGGTGTCCTCTGGCCCTGCCTGACCTGCAGCAGGATGGCGACATTCTCTGGGAGGGGAAGAGTGGTCCTGGGGGGACAGTGCAGGGCAGAGACTGCCCTCAGGAGAGGTCAGTGGGGAGGGGTTTGGAGGGATTTGCTCGCCCCTTGCACGCACTGCCTTGCGGGGGGGCCCTGCTCCCCCAATCCCCCCCTAGTGTGCCTGTCCTTGCCCCTTGCTGGTCTGCTCCTTCAGGCAGGCAAGGGTGTGAGGCCACTTCTGCTGCTGGCTGGCAGGGCAGCCCCGACTCTGTGTGCTTGAGACAGGGCAAGCAGAGGGGCTGGACGAAGGGGCTGGGGGCAGCGACAGTGCCGGTCCCAGGGCCACAATCCCGCTCCATGAGGATGGGGCTGCAAGGAGTGGGGAACCCCAGCTGAAACCCCCTGACCCCAGCTGGCTTAGCAGGCGAAGTCCTCGAAGACGCCCTGATGAGGATAGTGGTGACGGTGGTGGTGGTTGGGCAGGATGCCTGCATTGTAGGTGCCCTCCACGTGCCGGCCCAGTGTCTCACAGGGGCTCTGCAGGGATGGCAGCGTCAGTGGTGATCCTGCCTGTCCCCATTAATTCCCCCATTCCAGCCTGGCTCAGCAACCTGAGGCCATCAAGCTCCCTGGCTCCTGGGAGTGATGTCCCTTTCCCATGAAGCTGCTCATGTCCCCAGTACCTGGTCCTTGAGCTCCTCCAGCCCCAGCGTAGCAATGCTCCCCGAGGGCTTCTTCAAGGGTGGCTTGGAGCGCCGCAGGACACGACTCACCCTGTCACGGATCACCTGGGGGCAGAAGAGGATCAGCCTTGGGGCACCCACAGACAGATGGGACCCTGTGGGAGCAACCCAGTCTGCATGGGCCTGCCTCATGGTCACTGCTGGCCCAGGGACATGGGGTGATGCTGGGTACAGCATTTCTGCCTGCATCCATCTGAGGGATGCTGGGAGACCCATCCTCCTCCCACCGCCTCCTACTGGGAGTTCCCCAGTTTGGGAGCTGTAGGTAGATGGCCCTCTTGGGTAGCATGGCACTTCTCCCCAGAGAGTCTTGCCCCTGTTGGCACCACGCTCCTTAGAGAACTCAGAGCACCTCATAAATGTAGTCCAGGATCTCCAGGATGGTAAGGATGCTAGCGCCGATGAACAGGCCCATCTGCCCCCCGATGTCCCCTGGGGAGGAAGAGAGAGAACTGGTCACTAGCAGGTGGTGCACAGCCTGAGCAAAGCCATTGGGTCTGAGGCCAGACAGCAGTGCCAGGGCAGCAGGATGGAGGGGACAGTGTGGTGACTGGGCTGCATGATGGCACGGGACAGCATGGTGATGGGATCAGGGGCTGCAGGATGGAGGGAGCAGGCGTTTGCAGGATGAGGGATGGCCAGCCATGAAGAGGGTCCTGAGGAAAGGCTGGGGAGTCACCGAGAAGCCCAGCAAGGTCGTAGGCTTTCTTCTGCTCAATGGCCTCATAGTTGAGTGCCTCGAAGAAGATGTCCAGCACCAGGAAGTTCTCCCTGTGGGGACACCATGGCTGTCACCAGCCCACCTTCCACCACTGAGCCCAGTCTCCTGTAAGCCCCTCTCCCCTAGTCCCCTAGGCCCCTTAGAGCTCCCTGGTGTGTTATTTAGGCTGAATTCACAGGACGCTGGTTATGGTAGGGACAGGGAAGGGACATGTCCTGGACTGGGTGGGACTGTGGGGTGGGGACATGCAAGCAGGGAGGACACCAGGGAGGACACCACAACCACCCTGGGGAAAGGATGCTGGAGGGACTGTGTGTACCAAGACCTGGCATACACAAACTGCCAGGAGCAGGGTGGGGGCATCCCAGATTCCTAGAATCCCTTGTCCCTACGTGCCTCTGAGAGCCATCCCAGCCCCCTTCGTGCCCCCAGCAGCTCACCGAATGTAGGTCTCATTCTTGTTGTACTTTCGGGCTAGGTAGCGTGCTGAGCCCTTGTTGGGGATGCGCACCATGGAGATCTCCTTGCCGTAGCGGGTAAGGTTGCATGGTGTGGGGCAGCTGCAGCGCTCCTGGCTGTCCTCCACTGCTGCATCTGGAGGCATGCAATGCTGGGCACAGCTGCACCCCCTGATCTCCCCCGGCTCACCCAATCTCCTGCCCATCCCCCAAACCTACCCAGCGTGTGGTCAGCGCACTCGATGTACACATTGGGAGAGCAGATGGACTCATTGCCTGTGGAGAAGCGCCGGGTCAGGGGTTGGGAATCTGATCCCCCTCTCCTATGCTCACTCCCCAAAAGATGTGGGGGAGACTGGGAAGGGGCTAAGGGTTGCAGAGTGATGGGGGTGAGCGTTGGGTGCAGAAGGATGGGAAAGCAGTGACCCTTGGCTGCAGTGGCCATTGGGTGCAGGTTGGAAGAGGCAGCCCTGGGAAGGAGGAGGGGAGTGTTGGGGAGGCCCCCACAGCAGGCACACCCCTCACCTGGCATGTGGACCATGCGGCAGTGGCAGCTCCGCACCACGGCCTCCTTCTCGCACTGCAGGCGGCAGGCAGCAATGCTGTAGGTATCGTAGCCAGGCAGGGTCTGCTCTCCCTGCACGCTGGCCCGGCAGTTCCCCCATGGCTGCGGCAGGTAGGTGAGCTGCCAGGGTGAAAGGGTACCATTGCAGCGACACATGGTGCTGGGGGTGCTTCCCTGGGGCTGCACCACCCAGCACCACCCAGCAGAAGTTGGAGTTTCATGGGGAGAAGTGGCATCTCCATGAATGGCACTGCCCAGCTGCCCTCCCACTTGGCTCCACACCACCTCAGCCTCATACCAGCCCTCTGAGCCATACTTACCCGCTGTTCCTGGCAGGACACGAATGTCTGGAAGCCGGGCGAGACACCGAAGCCCAGCTGATGGATGTAGGGTGGCTCATCCTGGCTGTGGATCTGGACACGGATGCCAGCTTCAAAAGATGTCTCATCTGTGGGAGATGGAAAGGGAGAGTGGGCAGCCAGCCCTGTCCCAGGGCTGCATGCCTGCCCACGGCACAATCCCTCAGCCACACCCCTGTACACCCCAGCACCCACATCTCAGCCCCAGCACCCCCAGTGTCCGGCTCACCCGCAGCCCCACTCACTGGTCTCCCTCCAGATAGGCAGGTATTCCTCCTGCTGGATGTCCAGCATGATCTCCAGCCCGTTGCCCATGCCACCCTGGCGGGTCACTCGAGGGTTCCTCCGGTCCCCATTGAAGGTGTAGCACTTGCCGTAACGTGTATAGACCTGAAG